TCCTGTGGCATGAGTTCCCTTTCAGAAGTCATGTTGCTTTTGCCCTAGTAAGATGCCTTTACTTAGGTGTTCAGTTAGCCACAGAGAATTCCTGCCTTGCAAACTGTAGATCTGCTTGACGTATTTAAAGATACAGTGAGTGAGTAAAAGCTGCTCAGTCCTGTCTGACTCTTTGTGACCCCATGGACTATACAGTCCGTGGAATTCTCCAGGCCAGAATACTGGAGTGGGTAGCCTTTCCCTTCTCCAGGGGATCTTCCCAACCCAGGGATCAAACCCAGGTCTCCTGCATTGCAGGCAGATTCTTTACCAACTGAGCTATGATACAAGGATCTCTCAAATAACAGACAAGTTATAGTTATGGTGAGGTTATAAATCAGTTCCAAAACCGACAAAATCTTATTTGATCTAAAAATTGCTCCTACAAAACTTCACCAGTACACCATAAAATGTGTTTTCCAGGTAAAATTTATGACTATGGGAATTGCTTCCTGTAGCACTCATGCTAGTTCTCCAGCCAGAATATCTGGGATTCCTCTACTTTAACCTGGTCCCATGCAGTGGCACCAGTAGCATTCCCAGTAGCCAGAAAGGTAATAGCTATCTCTGTTGCTCAGAGTCCTGTGGTGATAACAGGGACAGAGGACAAGGGTACACTTCTGATGTCTCAGTCTGTTTATGTCTAAAGGCCCTTCTAACAAATATGATACATCTAAGGACTGACTTCATATCTAAGTTATGGAGATCATCTGCTTCCTAGAGAGGTAACACTGTACTCAAATCAGCCATGTAATGAGCTTTTAGGTCTTTAGTTGAATTTTCCTTAAATATTGACATTAACAGATCATTCCACCTAACTTGACAACCAGATATGCTCAAGATTAATACCTGGTATTTATATGCACCACTTATTTATCCTTTCACATAGAACATCACCTTCATTTTATTGAAATATTTCCAAAGTATAGTTTAAAAATATTTTTGTGTTAAAGTATAATGGATCATGAAAATATTTTTTCTTATAATAGACAGTGTCTTAAGAGTTGTGTTCTAAGGCTATGCTGACCATATAGGATAGCACAGATATTGAGCTTTTCATAATCATAGAAATTCCACTGGACAGTGCTGTACTGAGGAATCAATGTGTTATGAGATCAACTATTTTTATAGATGTGGAAAATAAGATAAAGGAGTACTAGTACACAATTCTAAAATCTTAGGTAAATGGTATAAACCTGTCTTATGTGTTACATAGTAAAGAATGAGTATTGCAGAAGTTGAAACAACTCAATTATGGAATATTTATGAATTTTCTCTGACCAAAAATCTATTTTTAAGAAAAAAATTCAGTACATGATTAAGAGCAAGCAAGTTTGGGTGTGTGTGCATGTGTGTGTGTGTTTACACCTAATAAAAGTTTGCAACTTCAGGATGAACTTCCTAGTGTTTCTTTTTTGCTATAAAAATATAGTACTGCCTTAAAAAATCATTTTGTTGAGGTATAATTTATATGCAACAAAATGCATCCACTTTAAAGTAGTAAGTTAGATAAATGCATACACCACTGTAACTATTAATATCACCCAAGTTAAGAAAATACGACTTACTTTCACCTCAGTGTTTCCTTTACTACTTTGCTGTCAATATCCTCTCCATGAAATATCCTATCCACCTCCACTCCATGAAATTACTAATCTGCTTTGTAAACGGATTTTGTCTTATGAATATTCAATTCAATGGAATCATATAGTTATGTATTCTTTTTTAATTTTCTTCCTTTTGGCTGTGTTGCAGGAGCATGTAGGCTCTTAGTTCCCTGGTCAGGGATTGAACCCACTCCCCCTTCATTGGAAGCTCAGAGTCTCAACCACTGAACTGCCACGGAAGTCCTTCATATGTATGTTCCTTTTGTATCTGACTTCGTTGTTGCATGTTTTTGTTGTTGTTGTTATGAAGTAGTATCACTCTATGAATAAATACACCACAGTTTGTTGAACTATTTACCTGTTGGCAGGTATTTGGTTTGTTTTCAGATTTTGGTTATTATGAGCAAAACTCCTTTGAATACTTGTGTACAAGTCTTGTTTTGAACATATATCTTGTAAACATGTTTTTAGTTTTCTTGAGTAAATACATAGAGTAGGATCATTTGGTCATCTGATAAGAATGTCTTAACTTCGTAAGGCATTTCCTGTTTTCCAAAGTGGTTGTGTAGGGGCCATGATGTATGAAGGATCTAGTTGTTCCACATAGTCACCCACGGTTGGTGTGGTCTGGTACTGCCTTTTGAAGGACTCTGTTACTGGGTAGTATTACTCAGTCTTGGTTGTGACTTTATTCCTAAAGAACCAATTTGTTCTAGGTAATCACTCTCAACAAAGCATTTTCTATAATGAAACAGTCAACTCCAAATTAGAAACTTTTAGTTTACATATATTCATATCTTAAAAATGACCCTGATATTAATCTTCTCTTGGTTGCTCGCTATTTCATCTCTGATTGTAGAAGTGGGAAAGAAATCCCTTTCATCTTTGGAACAGCAAGGAAAGAAGAGAAGAATCTCCCGGGCTGTGGGCCAAGGGGGCTAGGTAGAAGGTTTTCCCCTATAGCACTGTCCAATAGAAATATAAAATGAGCCACATATATAATTTTGTGAAACACTATTTAGTAGCCAATTAAAAAGTAAAAAGAAACACATGAAATTAATTTCTAAATTTTCACCCAATATAGCTAAAATATTATAATTTAAACATACAATCTATATAATAATTATTGAGGTATTTTATGTTCTTTTTCATACTAAGGCCTAAAAGTCAATTGCATATTTTACACTTTTTTATACTTTATCACAGTATAGATGCTAAATTTCCAAGACTTGAAGTGAAAAAACATAACCTTACCTAAAAAATATTTATGTTTGATGAAGAAGAATTCTACACTGCTTCAGTTTTTTTTTTAATTAAAATGCTCAACTCCAGAAAAATAAATGACCCAATCAAAAAATGGGCCAAAGAACTAAACAGACATTTCTCCAAGGAAGACATACAGATGGCTAACAAACACATGAAAAGATGCTCAACATCACTCATTATCAGAGAAATGCAAATCAAAACCACAATGAGGTACCATTACACGCCAGTCAGGATGGCTGCTATCCAAAAGTCTACAAGCAATAAATGCTGGAGAGGGTGTGGAGAAAAGGGAACCCTCTTACACTGTTGGTGGGAATGCAAATTAGTACAGCCACTATGGAAAACAGTGTGGAGATTTCTTAAAAAGCTGGAAATAGAACTGCCATATGACCCAGCAATCCCACTTCTGGGCATACACACCGAGGAAACCAGATCTGAAAGAGACACGTGCACCCCAATGTTCATCGCAGCACTGTTTATAATAGCCAGGACATGGAAGCAACCCAGATGCCCATCAGCAGACGAATGGATGAGGAAGCTGTGGTACATATACACCATGGAATATTACTCAGCCATTAAAAAGAATTCATTTGAATCAGTTCTAATGAGATGGATGAAACTGGAGCCCATTATACAGAGCGAAGTAAGCCAGAAAGATAAAGACCATTACAGTATACTAACACATATATATGGAATTTAGAAAGATGGTAACGATAACCCTATATGCAAAACAGAAAAAGAGACTCAGATGTATAGAACAGACTTGTGGACTCTGGGAGAAGGCGAGGGTGGGATGTTTCAAGAGAACAGCATTGAAACATGTATATTATCTAGGGTGAAACAGATCACCAGCCCAGGTTGGGTGCATGAGACAAGTGCTCGGGCCTGGTGCACTGGGAAGACCCAGAGGGATCGGGTGGAGAGGGAGGTGGGAGGGGGGACCGGGATGGGGAATACATGTAAATCCATGGCTAATTCATTTCAATGTATGACAAAAACCACTGCAATAATGTAAAGTAGTTAGCTTCCAACTAATAAAAATAAATGGAAAAAATAAATAAATAAAATGAAAAGAAATTTAAAATTCAGTTTTCTCAGTTGCACTAGCCACATTTCAAGTGCTCAGTAGACCCATACATAACCATTTGCTACCATATTGGACCATGTAGTTCTAGAGCATTTTTTGTGGGACAGGAAATGGAAGATAGAGGGGAGACATATTTGTTACTGCATCTCAGGTCACTGGTAGAAAATACCAGTACTATTTGCATACAATTAGAAAAAAAAATGTATATATATATATATATACACACACACACATATATTTTTAGCTGTATGATTTTGAACAAGTAACTTAATTGTCCAAGCTTCACTTTCACCATCTGTCTGTAAAACAGGAAAGTAATCATACCCCTCAGATTACTGTGAAGATTGAGAATCTATGCAAAGCACATTGTAGAAGGACTGGCAAAGTTTTGAAAATAGGTAAGTGGTGGCTTTTAAAAATCCAAACAGGGACTTCCCTGGTGGTCCAGTGGTTTAAAAGTCTGCCTTGCAATGCAGAGAATGTGAGTTTGATTCCTGGTGGGGAAATAAGATCCTACTGTGGCTACCAAGCCCACAGGACACAATTAGAGGGTCCATGAGCCGCAACCAAGACCCGATACAGCCAAATAAGTAAATGTTTGTTTTTAATCCAAACGATTCTTTGGATGGGGATTGTCTGTATTTCCTTTATTTTTAAAAGTTAGAGAATTTAAAAAACTTGTTTGAAAATGACATTCATTGATTCCATAAGTACTGCCTCTTAGGCCAGGTGCTCACTGAAACACAAAGATGGAAATAATATGCTCCTGGCTTTGAGGACCCTGGAGCACCCCATGTTAGAAACAACACAGCGGTGGGCTAATGTCCAAATGAGAAAAGTAAAACCAAAGAGAATAACATATTTATTCAACAATCCCACAGAAAAGAAGCCCTACAGGTAAAAATTGAGTTTATGAATTATATAGTTTTCTACTTAGTTTAAAATCAATATCCACAATTACAGTCACTGAGATTTAAGAAAGATTGACATGGATCAAATGCTTAATGATTAGTAGTAGCCTTTATTTCTGCCACATGAAAGATGCTGCTTTGTTTTCCTTTCCTTCAATTGTTATTTCTTGAGCTGTGCTTGCTTTTAATTTATTAGTTTACATTTATCTGGTAAAGAAAAAAGATGGAGTTAGTTCAGTTAATTCAAAAGTCTGAAATACAGAATCTTTTAAAGCTATTATTGTTAAGTATAAAACTTAAAATAACTAAATATGAGTAAATTAAGTGATTGAAATAAGTAAAATTACATTTATAATAGAATATTTCTTCTTAATATAACAATAAGTATCCTTTGGACAGGTAAGGTATCATTTTTTTAAATCTAAAAGTTGATACAATGTTAAAGGAATTTTTAAAAATTTTTGTTATTAAAAATTACTTCTACCATGTAGTTACCTAGTAAATCAAGAAGTCAAGATTAAAATTATGGACTTTTATTCTTTAGGGCTTGTAGACATTGTCATTGAATTATTTGCAAGTTCTTGATTTGTGCCAAACTGAGTCCTGAAATTAGTCAAATGTATGTGAGATTTACACACACATAGTTTATGCTTATTGTAAATAAGGGGCCTAGTAACTTTCACATGATTTCAGGTGTAATAATGTCAATATGAAGTCTTTATTAGTAGCAAACTTTTTTCACCATATAAAAAAGAATCTACCTTTCCCCATATATTAGTAATTCACAATTTAAATATTTGGGAGCCACTTTTATAATTTCCAAAGTCAAGATCTGAATATGTTATATATACCATTATTTTTGCCCTTCTTTGCATTTGTCAGTTCAGTTCAGTTCAGTCGCTCAGTCATGTCTGACTCTTCGCATTTATAGCTTTCTTAATGAGACCACAGTATTTGAAATTTCTTGTTATAGAATATATCAGTCAAAGGATGAAATTGCTGTAGTATACTGGGTTCACTTTTAAAAGGAATTTCTCCCTCTAAACGTTATAATATATTGAGAAATAGCTAGGCTTGGAACTCTCCCTAGGTGGGTGTAGAGACCAGCATGTCACCCTGAGTGCCATCCCTTCACTGTCCAGCACCATAGAACATTAGAAAGAGCATACTTAATGGGGGAAAAGAAGTGACAAAAGAACACCACAGACTGAAGAGTGTATGTGGAGGCCAGGGGATTAATGTGTGTGAACATTTGAGAAGTTTTGGCCACATTTGTTTTTCTCTGGTGCATTGTCTCTGGCTGATGGTGTACATCTGGGTGGGGCCCGGTTAATAAACTGAGTGCTCAAATACTAAACTGATTTTGGTTGGCAGAGGGACAGAAAGGTGGAGAAAAGGGTAGGCATCTCAATTCCATCATCAGAACCCTGATAAGATGGGCATGTGCTTCTTGCTGGAGTCACCTCTGCTTCACCAACTGTCTATTTAATTGTGTGAATTTAGCCTTAAATGTATGTATGTGCATATGCAGTCTCTCTCTCTCACACACACACACAGCGTTAGTTATATTAGGAGAGGCAAATGAGAGAAGTTTCATTCATAAATAGCTCACTGTAAAGCATGTCTCAGAGGAACTTAGTACACTGTTGGCCACCACACACAGCTGGGCAAGTTATTCATCGCAGAGACTACTTTGTGAGTGGGGCCCCCCAACTCTGTGCAGTGTACAATCTGTGCAGCTGTCCATGGCGGCCCTCTAGGGACTCTGCAAGTATTTGTATAATTTCTGGTGTGAAAGTAAGAGGCTTTGGCTGTGTGGGCTAATCTGAGAAAGCAGGCTGGGAAAGAGTGTGATAAGGGAGCAGAGAGGAAGAGTAGCAATGAGAATGAAAGGAATCGCTGCTGAGAGCAGCAGCAAGTCTCTTCCAGTGCCTCACCTGAAGCGCCCTCTCGCCCTGCTGATGTTACATTTTGACCCCCGGTGGATTCTAGAGCAGAAACCACAGCAAAACCCTCAACATTCCATTCCACCTCTATTATTACTATAATAGAAGTAATATGATTCACTGTTAAAAGATTCAGTTTACTGACAACTTTTTGTGAAAGTGTCATGTCTGTCATTTACATCTACAGAGACTTATAACTGCAAAAATTACCTTTAAGTTGTCTTATTTGTTTTTTCCATTGGCCTTTTCTTTTCCTGTTTTACTTTCCTTTCCTCACATCCATTCCCCTGAGAAAGGGAGGACAGATGAGGCACGAGATTGAGGAATTTAGAGAGGATTTGACAGGAGAGCAGAGAGCCAGAAAATAGTTCAGCAAAGTGGAAGTGAGATTATTAGAAAGAGGAAGTGAGAAAGAAAGAAAAAGGCCAAAAACCAGAGAGAAGAAAGTCACAGAAAGAGAACCTGAGTCTTAAATTCAAATGATTTTCTAACCTCATAAAAAATGTCTTCATTCTTTCCAGTGGAGCCCATTGTTAAATTTCAGTTTCCCTTTTAGCATTCTCCCATTACTTCTTAGGATTCCAAGGGTTTGATTTGCCATAATTAGGAAGAAAATGGAAAAGATAGATGGGTGGGGGAGGGGAGGACATTCCCAGTATTTCATAAATGATTTCCCTCTCTCTTCTTTTCTTAATCTCTGTCCTTTGTCTCTTTTCTTTCCATCTTGGAAAAATGCCAGGGGATCATAGATAAGCCTACTGTTTGGGCTCATTGTAAAGAAAATCAGCAAAATTAAAGAGAATAAAGCTTAGGAAGGTAAGAAGTGGAAAGTCAAGAAAGGAGAGAGATGGACCCAGATCCAAAGAGATGGGTTTAGCCTGGGCCCTACCTTATAGACTTTTCATAAAAACAGTATGTTTGAAGTGCTGCTTTACCTGAAACCCTACTCAAAAAGGAGGAAAAGTGTAATTCTTCCAAACTGCTCAGAGGTTAGAGAGAATTGGAGACTGCTGTCCCCAACTAGCCTTGCCCAAGAGTTGTTGAATGTGAATCTGATGAAGTTAATAGAAACAGTGATTTGATTTACTTCTGTGGGAACAGTTATTATTCTGGCTTCTGCCTAAAATAGAAATCAGATTTACAAAGTTATTTTCAGTCTACATTCAGTCTAAATTCAATAGGACAAGGTTACTAATCTTTGCTTCCTTGGGGTGAAGAGTGTTAAGTGTGAGTAAGGGAGTGTGAAAGGGGAAAAAAGTGATTTAGAGGAGTGTGGCAAGGGGGAAAGAAATGCTAATCAGAGGGAAAATTGAAAAACTGTACAAGCCTAAGTAAAGAAAAGGGAGAGGATAAAGGAAAGGTAAGTGGAAAGAATGAGAAAATATAGGAAATAAAACAAACAGGGAAAATAATTAATATTTGGTGAAAACTGCAGGCCAAATTAGTATATTGTACCAGCTTCATCATTTAACAAGCTCAGAGTGGAATTTTGCTGCATGTTTGCTGTATCCTTCCTCAACTACTCATTTCTAGAGCCCCATTTCAAGCTGCCTGCTAAAATTTACATAGATGGGCCACCAGGATCACAAACCTGAGCTAATAAACCATAGGAGCAGAAAGGGCCTTGAGACACCAGTCATGCCTTCATTCCCCCACCCATATGCACACACATTTGATAGCTGAGGAGACTGAGACCCAGAGAGATTAAATGATACATTCGTGAAACAGGACACACAGAACCAAAATCTAGGACTTTCAATTCTAAGTTCAGTGTTTCATAGCTTATTTCTTCACCTTTTCCTTCCAGATTTTTTTCCTTTTCCCAGCTTGTTTCATGGACTCAGTACCTCCTAGTCATGTTGCCTCACAAACTCTACTTTTTTTTTATCTCTTGTTTTCACAAGCAGTTAGGTGTTAAAGCTTGTTGACTGTGTGTTCAGGTCTTTTTTTCATCTCACTGCTTCTTACCTGGTGGAGACTTGGGTACCTTTCACCCAGACTATTATAATGACGTTCTGCCTCTAACCTGTTTCAACTTCTCTTAGGGACTACAGTCAGAGTAATCTACCTAAAATGTAATATTAACTTTGTCATTTCCCTGGCTTTTCAGTGGATCCTGCTTACCTACCAAGCAGTACTATCCAAACTCCTTAGTGTGGATTAAGACTCCTCCAGACTGGCTCCTGCCTTGCTCTCAGTGCTCCTAAGCTGAATATGCCCAACATTGTCCCAGCCCTGTGATTTTGCCCACCCTGTTGCTTATGTCGGGATTCCCTAATAGCTCAGTTGGTAAAGAATCTGCCTGCACTGCAGGAGACACCAGTTTGAATCCTGGTTGGGAAGACCTGCTTGGAGAAGGGAAAGACTACCCACGCCAGTATTTTGGCCTGGAGAATTCCATGGACTGTATAGTCCATGGGGTCACACAGAGTCGGATATTCTTGTTTCCCCTTTCCTAACACAAAGATTGCCACCTTCATAGACTCCTTCATGATTTTCTCTTTTGAGCAAAAAGTATGTTCTCTACTTTTCTCTTAGAGGGCCTGTAACGTTCCAACTTACATTATTTGTGCACATGTCTTGAGGCCAGGTATATGTCCTGTTATTTATTTTTAATCTCTCCCAGAGTCTGTCTCAGTGCCTCATATATAATAGATGGGCATTGAATGTTTGTTCAGTTGAACAAAATTGAGTTTGTGCCAGGATGCAAGTGAATCGTCACATATAAGATGAAAATGAAAGCATCAATGTCCTATATTACTTTTAAATTTCCATGGCTTAAATAAGGAGTACTTCAGAATGTATGAAGAATATACTAATTATATGCCCAGCTACTAATTATGTATTAAGTGATAAGGCTTTTGCTGGATTTAATATTGCCTTTAGAAAATAAGAGGAAAATATTTGTCTGTAATAGCATATCTTGGGAATTTTTACAGATTTGATTTCTTTTCGAAATAAAATTTGGGATAGAAATTGATAGATGAAAATTCTATATACTGTGAGGGAAATTTTGTATTTTTCTTATAAACTATAATAGCATTTGTTTTCAGGTTCAGTTCTATAGATTGGAATATAGGTAAAAACCACATTATAGTGAAGCTCCTCCGGTACTTTTGGACACAAAAGTCCAGTGGGAAGGCCCAAAGATGAATCTCGTTTGTATAAATAGTTTTTCTATAATCATTGGCTTAAAAAAAATACACCTTTATTGAGTTAATATTTACTTATTTAGCATTATATAAATTTCATGTGTATAATTTTATATATTTCTGCATGTGCTCCCCCCAAAAATACAGGTTGATCCCCTTTCCCATTTAGTTCTCCCCACCAATCATTTGCTTTGCTTTTCTTTTTTTTTGTACGACTCTTGCAAATGTGACTAGAAAACACGTTCAAGTGTTTCTGTATTCTTTTCCCCCTCCTTTTTAAGTTCAATGAAATGTGATTTTATGTTCCTTCCATAATGTTCTCTTATGTGCATGACTGGAGCAGAGGTCTCTTCTGCTCCCCAGAGGTTAGACAGTCACTGAGAAGTGGGTCAGCAGCAAGCAAGGGAAGAACGCTCTGCTGGTGCTTACATGACAGCCTTTACTTCAAACAGTTGTTACCAGTTAATGATCCCGAGACGTGGGAATATGTAAAGAAAAAGCTGCCAGAAGAAAACATTAAATTCTATCACCTAACAGCAAAACAGAAGCCAAAGACACAAGCAGGAGGAAAAGAGGGGCTAGCCAATTTTAGGTTTACCAAGAAATTGAGTTGTGATCACTTCCCTTCCAAATCGGCAGGAGTAACAGGCCATATCATGTTTGGTTCTGCCTTCAGAGCTGGCTTGGGAGTGGTTCCCGCCCTGTGAGTTAGAGATCCTGGGAACTGGGAAACTTTATCAGCACAGAAAAAAGCAAAGCGGTGCCTTCTGCTTGAAAGATAGCATGAATGTAGTCTTTGAGGCAGTTTCTGTAGGACAGACTCTCAGAAGGAAGCAAAGACAAGAAAGGGAATGCCCCCAAATGTCTGGCTTGATTCCTTTGTTCTTAGCCACTCTGTTCTAGGGCCCTGAGATGACTGCTTGTTACCAGGGATCACAAAGAAACACAGTGGAATTTGGTCCATACCTGAAATGTCTGAATCAGTTCTCCCGCTCCTGTAAAAATAAATAGCACATTTCAAAGTTTGACCAGTATAATCGCAAATATTTAGAAAAGAATTTCTAGGTATGAGAAAACAACCATTCTCTAAGCACTTAGTAGGTAGTAATGACACACATTTAGTAAGCCAAGGGTGCATATGTGTGTGCTAAGTTGTTTCAGTCATGTCCAACCCTATGCAACCCTATGAACTGTAGCTCACCAGGTTCCTCTGTCCCTGGGATTTTGCAGGTAAGAATACTGGAGAGGGTTGTCATGCCCTCCTCCAGGGGATCTTCCCAACTCGGGGATTGACCCACGATTCTTATATCTCCTGCAATGGCAAGCAGGTTCTTTACCACTAGTGCCATATGGGAAGCCCAAGCCAAGGGTATTATCCATTATAATACATCTTAGAGTAAAATTACCTAAATTTATGTAACATGCAAGCTGTCCAACCTATAAAAGCCATAAACGTGAATTATATATAATTACATATAATCTATTTTTATTGTGACTATCATCTGTCACTCAATGAGGCTGTAAGGATCCCTATCATGCTACATCTTCAGGCCCTAAAAACTCATTTCGGGTTGAGACTGAAAGAAGCTAACTGCTGGTGTTCAGGGGTTTCTGTAAACAGAGTCAGTTGCATTGGGAATATATGCCCTTGCAGACACGTGGGGTATATTCTGGAATGGATGGGTGCCAGGGTTTGCAGTTACCCACCTCTGCTAGCTCTTCACCACCACCTTGGTGGCCTTGATGGGAATCTTCTAGGTAAATAACCTCAATCATTCATCCAAGCTATAACAATTTCTTACAGCTTAGTGGTTATAAAGTAGGAGACTTTTTTAGACAGTTTTTTGGACTATTTTACTTTCAGAGATATCTTTGGATAAAGTTTGTTTTCTGCATGCCTGATACCTTTAAAAATTTTTTTTAATCTTTTGACCATGCTACGTAGCCTGTGGGATCTTAGTTCCCAGACCAGGTATCCAACCTCCCAGACTGGCAGCATGGAGTCTTAACCACTGGACCACCTGGCAAGTCCCTGTATGTCTGATTTTTAAAATTAATATCAATAATTAAAATACTTATTTTCTTAACCTACTGAATGGTAAAATATAAACTTAAGTCAGTTAGTTTTCACCAAATCTTTGTTTCTTGGCTATATTGCAATAGCTATTTTGGAAGTTTTGCTGTTTGAGTAATAGATTTGGGGAAGAATAATTATCCTTATATAATATCTTCTCAGATAAATGTACAAAGAAATAATTCTGATCCATTTAGAGGATCTGGCAAATTCATGCAGTTTAAATTCTTTAGTGAATCTTTCTTTTTTTTTTTTGTGAATCTTTCAAATGTAAAGGTTAAATTAGTAATTGTCTGAGAAGTTTGCAAATACTCATAACCTTTACCAAATGGGTCTGGTGATTTAAATAAGATTGAGTTTAATGATAAAAGTTTTCAATAGGCTAAGAGGTATCAAATAAGTGTACTTTAAAACAGTAGGTGCAAACTAAAATGAAGCCTGCCATTATCCTCTTTAAAACAAGGGGAAGAGTCACAGTAACACCATTGCCAAGGTATGAAAAAGAATATAAATGCTCTATAAAGTAAATCCTTCATTTCTAAAGTACCCAAAGTGATATTATAGCAGTTTCCATAATCTTTCACTCATCTAGATTTAAATTGTTCAATTTACATTTTAAAGGCTAATGAATTTGAGGGCAAAATACTCAACAAGGTCATTGTTTAATTTTTTTTTCATTGTTTCAAAGTACACAGTTAGAAAGGTGTCACTGAAATCCATGGTCTTGGAGAAGAAAAATATACACTAGAATTCATTTATCACTCTCACAGTATCCTGACTTAATCCTACAAATATCCCAGGACTAAGTATCAGTGAATCCCATTCTGTTCTTTGATTTTATTACGTCTTTCAATTATAATGAACATTCTCAAATTAGTCTCTAGCTAGTAATTACGTTCCTGATGTAAATAGGCAATAAAATATAATCTATGCTTGACTAAATTGGACTTAAGAGGATTAGTGAGAACCAAAATTCATTTTTTGCTTTGTTTTTTTAATCTATTTCTTTCTTTCTTTACAGTAGAGTCAGCAGATAAATGATACAGGAAGCTGAGAGACTGAAGGGCAGAGCCTGGAAGATGTTGGGATTTGCTAACTAAGATCCTTTGTAGTCTTTAAAATTCTAATATTTTTGCTATTTATATAGGCATTCATTTTCTCATTTCTAATACCAATCATAACAGTGAGAGTAACAAAACTTCATACTTGCAGATCACTTCAACCTAGAAACAAGTTATCCTTACAATTTTTAACATTTTAAGAAACTACTACATGCAGTCTAATTCTCAGAGAATTTTTAGGGAGGTGAGGCTGTTCTGTATGGAATAGTGGATACATTCAATGTGCATATGTCAAAACCCATAAAACTGTACAAGACAGTGAACCCTAAACTAGGGACTATAGTTAATAATAATGTATCAATTTTGTTCATTAACTGTTAAAGGTACCACACTAATGCAAGTGTTAATAACAGGGGAAACTGGGGATGAGGAAGGGTAAGGAGGTGGCAGTGGTGTGGGTGTAGGGTTGTATGTACTATGTCCTCAGTTATTCTGTAAATCTAAAACTATACTTTAAAAATGTTTATTAGTTATTTTTTAAAGATTTTTTTAAGGCACTAAAAGTTAATCCAGTGCTACAGGGCACCCATTATTTGCAATAATGTGAGGAAAGAAGAAGTTGAAATGATTTACACAGTTAACCTTGTTAGATTTTGAATTGTGTTTTTCTGAAAGCTTAGACAAGGGCAGGACAGAATTTGAGACATATTGAATGAAATAAAGTAGAGGAAGATGTCAGAATGATCAGACCTGATTAATTACTGTTTAGGAAAAATTGCTAGCCTGGATGGATTCATTTTTATCTCACTTGTTTTTTAGAAATCTTACGCTTTTCTATGAAAGTCATACTCGTACATAGCAAAAAGTGCATTTCCTACTGAGTGGCACCTGCTTCTATACCTTTGTCTCTTACATTCTTTGTCTTTCCCTCACCTCTTCTGACTGATGATTACTTTTTAAAATTTTTATTTATTTTTAATTGAAGGATAATTGCTTTACAATAGTCTTGGATTTTGCCATTTATCAACATGAATCAGCCACAGGTATACATGTTTCCTCTCTCCTAAACTTCCCTGCCACCTCCCACCTCTCACCCCTCTAGGTTGTCAAACCGGAGCCCTGGTTTGAGTTCCCTGAGTCACACAGCTAATTCCCACTGGCTATTTCTCTTACATATGGTAATGTATATGCTTCCATGCAAGTGGAATCTTTTCCATTTGAGCTACCAGAGAAGCCAAGGAAAATGAAATCATATCAAGTATTTCTTTTGGATCACAGTGCTATGAGCTTAGAAATTACAAAAAAAAAAAAAAAACCCTGCAAAAAATGCAAATATGTGGAAACTGGACAATATGCTACTAAACAAATAATGGATTACTGAAGAAATCAGAGGAAATTTTTTAAATGCCTAGAAATAAATAAAAATGAAAATATGATGACCCAAATTCTATAGGATGCAACAAAAGCAATTCTAAGAGGAAAGTTCATAGAAATACAATCTTACCTCAAGAAACAAGAAAAATTTCAAATGAACAACCTAATCTTATATCTAAAGCAGCTAGAGGAAGAACAAACAAAATCAAAAGTTAGTAGAAGGTAAGAAATAATAAAGATCAGAGCAGAAAGAAATGAGAGATTAAGAAAACAAAATGAAAGATCAATGAAGCTAAAAACTTGTTCTTTGAAAGGGTAAACATAATTGATAAACCTTTAGCCAGACTCAAGAAAAAAAGGGAGAGAGCTCAAATCAATAAAATTAGAAATGAATAAAGAAGTTGAAGCTGACTTCACAGAAATACAAAAGATCGTAAGAGACTACTACAAGTGTGCCAAAAAATGGACAACCTAGAAGAAATGGACAGATTCTTAGAAAGGTACAATCTCCCAAGACTGAACTAGAAAGAAATAGAAAATATAAGCAGACCAAACACAAGTGCTGAAATTGAATCCGTGATTAGAAAACTCCCAACAAACAGAAGTCTGGGACCCGATGGCCTCACAGGTTAATTCTATCATTTACAGAAGAGCTAACACCTATCCTTCTAAAGCTATTACAAAAAACTTTAGAGGAAGAAATACACTCAAACTCATTTTATGAGGCCACCAACACCCTGATACCAAAATCAGACAAAGATACCACAAAAAAGAGGGGAAATTACAGGCTAATATCACTAACGAATATAGACACAAAAATCCTGAACAAAATACTAGCCAACCAAACCCAACAGTGCATTAAAGGATCATAAACCACAGTTAAATGGGATTTATCCCAGGGATGCAAGGATTTTCCCAATATTCAGTGTGATATACCACATCAACAGATTGAAGAATAAAAAACATATGATCATCTCAATAAATGCAGAAAATTTTTGACAAAACTCAACACCCATTTATGATAAAACTCCAGGAACTGGGCATAGAGGGAATTTACCTCAACCTAATAGAGGCCATTACCTTTGCCAACAAAGGTCCGTCTAGTCAAGTCTATGGTTTTTCCAGTAGTCGTGTATGGATGTGACCATTGGACTATAAAGAAAGCTGAGCACCAAAGAATTTATGCTTTTGAACTGTGGTGTTGGAGAAGACTCTCGAGAGGTTCTTGGACTGCAAGGAGATCCAACCTGTCCATCCGAAAGTAAATCAGTCCTGAATGTCCATTGGAAGGACTGATGTTGAAGCTGAAACTCGAATACTTTGGCCACCTGATGCGAAGAACTGACTCATTGGAAAAGACCCTGATGCTGGGAAAGATTGAAGGCAGGAGAAGGGGACGACAGAGGATGAGATGGTTGGATGGCATCACCGACTCAATGGACATGAGTTTGGGTAAACTCCGGGAGTTGGCGATAGACAGGGAGGCCAGGCATGCTGCAGTCCATGGGGTCGCAAAGAGTTGGATACAACTGAGTGACCGAACTGAACTGAACTGAATAAAGGCCAAGACTGCAAGGAGATCAAACCAGTCAATCCTAAAGGAAATCAATCCTAAATATTCATTGGAAGGACTGATGCTGAAGTTCCAATACTTTGGCCATCTGATGCAATGAGCTGACTCATTAGAAAAGACCCTGAGGCTGGGAAGGTACGAGGAGAAGAGGATGACAGAGGATGAGATGGCTGGATGGCATCACCGACTCAATGGACATGCGTTGGAACAAGGTCCAGGAGATGGTGATGAACAGGGAAGCCTGGTGTGCTGTAGTTCATGGGGTCCCAAAGAGTCAGACATAACTGAGTAACTGAATAACAAAAAATGACAAACCCACAGTTAACATTATTCTCAGTGGTGAAAAGTTGGAAGCATTTCCTCTAAGATCAGGAAACAAGACAAGTATGTCCACTCTCACCACTTTAATTCAACATAATTTTGGAAGACCTAGCTGTGGCGATCAGAGAAGAAAATGCAATGAATTGATTTTAAATATACTTTTTAATGCAAATTTCAGAACATTTGGTCATATAGGAAAATTTTCTGAAGTAGACTTCCTTGAATTTGAACTGACAGTTCTTTCTATGGCTATGAAGAGAAACCCTCATTTTGGTTCTTGGGCCTTAGAAGAAGCACTCACAAGAGAGGACTCCTTGCTCCATCTGACTTTGTTTCTAGGACTGGCTTCTCATAAGGCAACAGTCCTCAAACATGGTTGTACATTAGAACCACTTGGAGGCTTATTACAACACAAATGATGAGCCCATCTCAAGAGTTTATGATTCAGCTGGGTGGGAGTGGCCTCAAGAATTTACATCATTTACCAGCTGCCAGGTGCTGCTGCTGACCAGCCACATGTTTAAGAACCACTGGCATAGAAAGCCTCACTAAGACACGATGCTTTGCTTAAGCAGACCACCAAAATCATAATTTGAAATTGAAGTCATATTGAAATTGAATTGAAATTGACCATTGAAGTCATAATCGAGATCCAGCAACACCTGGAATGTATTAACACTTGGATGTAGAGGCTCTAGAACTGTGAGAAACGTGGCTGCCCAGGAGCTAAACAGTAAAAATATGTTACTCTGACTTCAAGGTTTGTGAATCTTCTAAGGATCATCCATATTCCTTTGCTTTCTTGGATCCCTACTTAGCTGGGAAAGGAGGTGAAAAAGAGTTTTGAACGATTACCCCTCAGTCGATTAATATTTTTTTTCTGAAAGAATAGCTAACTTTCTTTTATCCTTGCTGTTGGAAATGAATTAATAGTGACAATCATGATCATTTACTGAACACCTAACATGGCCCTCTTATAATTGTTACACAATCAGCTTGAAACTCCATTCCACCAGCGCTCCACCCTTTCTTCAGATCTCTGCCCTTCCTCAGAGAAGCAGTCCCTGACCATTTATATAAATAGACCTACTCCCTCCTCGGATGCTTCTGTTACTTTTTGTTTTCTCACAGCACATTCCAGCTGGCATAATACACTTTATTTGCTTATTATCTATACCCTCCACTAGAATGAAACACTGCATGACTTGCTTTCATTGATGTATGCCCAGTCTCTAGCACATAGAAGTTGCTCAGTAAATATTACTGAATGAATGACTCACACCTTTAAAAAGTTTGTTTCCCTGTTTTTCCCTGTTCCTTTTTATATTTAAAAAGAACTTAGACATAGTTCATTACATTCTTTATCTTCATTCTTGCTAATATAGCATTTAGATCTCTATGTTTTTCTCTGGCTTCTTGATAGCTGTCACTCCAGAATAAACATATTAACTTTTATTTTTATAATACGACAGTGTCTCTCACATTCATCTTGTAATTGGGTATTTATAATTATAAAAACATTTTTTCAGATTATTAAGTTATTCATTGGAAGTGTAGAAAAGTGTAAGGGACATGTAAAGAAGAAAACAGAAGTGTCAGGATAAAAGTACCCATAATTACTTCAGATAATCTGTGCCCCTAACTCCAAAATGTGGACACCATGATTCTATTTTATTTCCTTCAGCACACACCATCTACAACCAGGCAGATAGCTCAGAATGCCAACTGAATGGTGTAAGAAGTTGGTGTGAAAATAAAAATTAGACAAGGTTAAACCAAATGTGGATAATTAAGCTAATTATGTTATCATTCATATGTCTGAGATTATGTCATCAGTCATATGTCATTCATATGTCTGAGAATCTTCCATGACAAATGCCTGAGTTGCAGGGACTTTAATTACTTTTCCTTTTTTTTTTTTTTTGGTCTCGCCACACAGCATGTGGGATCTTATTTCCCTGACCAGGGACTGAACCCATGCCCCCTAGATTGGAAGGGCATAGTCTTAACCAATGGACTGCCAGGGAAGTCCTGCAGGGACTTTAAGGCATGCACTTATTTACGTATTTCATGTCTTAGTATCATTTGGCATCTTCCTGCTTCACATACCTGGGTTCTTCAGCCTTGAGAAGTGTGCTTTCAGAGTCCATTGTCTTTATTTCGGGGGGTCTGTCACTCAACTCTTCGGATTTGTCTGTCTCATCTTCTTCTGGAATCAAGGTAGTTTGAAAACATCTTTCACCTTCGAAAGTCAGTGTTAGGTTTGAGATGGTGACATGTTTTGAGGATTCTTTAAACTCATTCTTGCTTTTTGTATCTCGTAAACAGCCAGACTTCAGAATGTTTTCCATTTTTTCCTTTGAAAATAACAAGCAGCAGCAAATCAGGTAAGAGAGAAGCATCACACAGGAACAGACTATTTATGAAGCAGCAATCATCTCATTCATGTGTACTGAGTGTCCTTGCGTGCGCAGTGCAGTGATGGAGGCACGAGGCTTGGTGATGCGCAGCCGTGGAGAGGAGCCTGGGTGGGCCCTGGAGGCTGGCAGCATGGGGACCCCACACAGCACATCCTAAACCTCACACGGTCATGCACACCAGTGTCACCTCAAGAAGGAAAACTAGGACTCAGTCACAGGGCTTCCTCTCCCTCAATTGGCAGGGAAAGGAAGGTTTTCTAGAAATGTCTTGCCACCGATTGTTCTCCATCCAAAGTTGCTCTAGGCTTAAGAGCATCTAATAGGTGACAGGAGTTGGAGGTTCATAAAAATACTAAAGAGTCTGTTTTTCAAAAGACCTAAAATTTAGTATTCTAATATCTCACCCATTCTCCTAGTGTCCCAGGCGTCTGTTATTAGCACCACTGCTCTGTCACTCCTCGCCTTCCCCAGACTCTCTCTCAGGCCTCAGATCAATAGGTCAGCTGGTCTTAAAGATTCTGTCTGTCTGACATCCGCACCTTCTTCCCCCTTTTGTCATTACCTAGTCCACCACCTCTATACTGTTCTTTGAAAATAATGCAGTAATCTTCTTTAAAAATAAAACATTTTTTCTGACAATGAAAGTAATATATATTTTTCATAGAATATTTAGAAAATCCTAAAAGATATACAGTGAAAGGGAGAAAATTATTGCTTCTTGATGCCACAGGCCAGAAATAACTACTATGGTACATTTCATTCTGGTCTTTTTCTCCACTTATGTATTTTGAATGTGCCTGCTTTGTGATCATATTGCAGTACTGTATCATATTTTTCACTTTAAAATTTATTATAAAAATCTCCCTATGTTATTAAAAACTTACTTGAATTTTTCTAATTAAAAATTATTTTTATTATAAGAAGCAGAACATTCAGAAGCCCATAAAGAAGAAAACATCAATTGCTTATAAGACCACAACCTAGAAATAAACTATTATTAACAATATGACTTTCACCACTCCTATTGTCTGTGTATACACTTGCATTTTTATGTAATAAGGATGTGAAGGTTGCTCAGTCGTGTCCGACTTATAGTCCATAGAAATCTCTAGGCCAAAATACTGGAGTTGGTAGCCTTTCCCTTCTCCAGGGGATCTTCCCAACCCAGGGATTGAACCCAGTTTTCCTGCACTGCAGGCGGATTCTTCCTGCATTGCAGGCGAATTCTTTACCAGCCGAGCCACAGGGAAGACCAAGAATACTGGAGTGGGTAACCTATCCCGTCTCCAAAGGACCTTCCCAAACTAGGAAGTGAACTGGGGTCTCCTGCATTGCAGTTGGATTCTTTACCAACTGAGCTATCAGGGAAGCCCAGAAATAAACAACTATTAACAAAACGACTTTCCTCCCCTCCTATTGTCTATGTATACACTTGCATTTTTATGTAATAAGGATTGTAACCTTTAGTTCATTTTTCATTCAGCTTTATATCATAAACATTTTTCCAAGTAATGAAAAATTCAACAGTTTTAGCAGCTACAGAGTAGTGGTTCATTTAGCCAGTATTTACTGAGTGGATATAATCTTGTCCGTCACTTTGGTTGCTCCTCAGTGATATAAACATGGCACCTGCCCTTTGTGGTTTAAATTCGTTTAGCCCTTCTTCTGTGGTGGATGTTTAGGTTACTTCTTCATTATCATCATTTTATTTTTATAAACATAGTATAGATGTGCTACAATTAACACTTTTATAGCTAGATCCTCATTCCTATTGATGATTAATTCCTCAAGAAAGATTCTTAAAAGTGAAATCACTGAGTCAAAGGGTGTCAACATTTCTAGGTTCTTGACTCATAATGATTTCAAGAAAGTTTGTTCTAATTCTCACCCTGCCATGAATCTTTAGAAATTCCAAAATGACCCCAACTTTACTAATGCTGACTATGTTGATTCTCTTATTTAACAGCTTTATGGATGAAACATTTTTTTGTTTGCATTTTTTTGATTACTAGTGAGGTTAAATTTTTCCACTAACTTTAGTAGCCAGTGGTTTCTTCTTCTGTGAAATGTCCATCTTTGCCCTCTGTCATTTTTCTGTCCTGGGCCCCAGGGGGATTTCTCAGCTACAGTCTACACACCAATCTCTTTATCTACAGTCCATCCTGCCATCAAAATAATCTTTTAAAAACACAGCCCCTTCACTCCCTTACACAGAGCTTTTGTGGCTAAGGTTTGCTCAAAGACTGGAGCCTACACTTCTTATTTTGGCATTCAAGATTTGCAAGCAATTTTCCAGTCCTATATCCTAATATTTTCCACATACATTATGCTCCAGCCAAACTGATATATTGTTAGATATGGCTCTGTGTTTTTCCACTTTCTGGCCATTTCTAAAGCTGCTCACTTCTTTGGGGATTTTATTTTCTTATTTTCATTCTCACTTTTACTTACTGAAATTTCACCCCATCCTTCAGTGTACTTCATACATTTGTGCTCATTTAAACCTTAATATAACCCTTATATGATATTAATATTCTCATTTGAGAGATGCATGTTCAGTGATTTGGCCAAACTAACATGAAGCAGGCAGGGCAGGATCCTAACCCGGGACTTTTGACTGTAATACCAAAGTTCTTTTTATCCTACCATGCCTCCTGATACAGGGTTAAGTTTTATGGTATGGATGGTCACTGCTTATTTCAGGGGACATCTTATAACTCTTTTATGCAGCGGTTAAGGGATCAGATCTCATTCTTAATGTTAGGTTAATCAGAGTAAGTTCCATACTATTTCAATAGTCTATGTCATGAAGCTTACCAAAGAGAGTGAAAGGGAGTAATTTTTAGAGAATGAAAGTCTTCCATGTCACATACCTTTTCCTCTTGCTTGGCCCTGAGTATGTCATCATTTTCAAACACCACTCTGACCCCTGAGCTTGCTGTGACTTCACAGATGTCTGTGACTTCCGTGACTTCTGTAACAATATTTATATCTGGGGCCTCGGTAACCTCATTTTCTGGAATATCCGTGACGTCGGTAACATCAGTGATGTCTGTGAATTCCGAGAAATCAATGCTTTCTACATCGTTGTTGGGGTCTGAACACGTGGACAGGTGTGAGGTCTGTATGGCAGGGCAGGCTGCTATATCCATGATGTCCACTGAGCCTGTGATGTCTGTGCTGTTTGTGATTTCCGAGAGGCTGGAGACTTCCGACACTTTGGAAGCTTTGGCTTTCTCCTCATTCAAGAGGGAGATGAGCTCTACCCATTGATGGAACAGGGAGTCTTGTTTGCCTGCAGGGGCGCAGAGCTGTAGGTAGTAGGCTCGGCCACTCACCAGCTTAACTTTGATGCGCATATTCTCGGCATCATGTACAGAGAGAGTCACAAACTGCAGAGGGAGAAACCTGCAGACAAATGCAAATATCATCTGAAGGCCTGATAGGAAACTGTCACAAGTTTCCTGTTATAGACATTTGTGGAGTGAGACAGGACACCAGGTGTGTCTCTCAAACAGGTTTGGGGAGCAGCTGGCGTGGGATGGGGCAGGACCTTCTAGTGGCCACATGTCCCCAGGTCTAGTTCATGGTTTTTGAGGTTCAAAACCTTGATTTTTCATACACATAATCAGGCTCCTGAAGACCAACTCACCTGAATCATACTCCTAAGACTATCAACTAGTATATCAGCTATTTATTACTTATTTAGGAGAAGTTGTCCCATTTAGTTAGTCCTGAAAGGTGGAGACTGAGAGTGATTTGCTGTGGGTCCTACAGCAACTTGGTGGGCTGAGACAAGAGCAGAACTCATCCTGATGGAAGTTGGGATGGTGGCGGGGAAGTTCCTGTTCAGCCAGTTCAGTTCAGTCACTCAGTCGTGTCTGACTCTTTGCAACCCCATGGACTGCAGCACACCAGGCTTCATTTTATGTAATTAATTAATTAATTTGGCTGTGCCAGATCTTACTTGCAGCATGTGGGACCTTCGTTCCCTGAACAGGGATCGAACTCAAGCGTCTGCATTGCTAGTGTGTAGTCTTAGCCACTGGACCACTGAGGAAGTCCCCTAGGTTTAACTTTTGAGAAGTTAAAGGTAAACCACTTGTTTTGACTGCCAGGTTGTCAGACCATCTCCCCAGACTCTAAGGATGTGACTCTGTCATCTGTAGCGGAAAACAATTGAGGGGCCCTTGTCATCTGTGTTTCTAGTCTCATCTCCTCAGGGGTAAAGTGTTTTTTTCTGACAGGTCGTGAACCTCTTTCCTCTGTAACTCACCGGGTAAGCACCAGATTTTCTGGAGGAGGAGATGTCAGGAGACTCTTAAACAGGGGTTCTGAATCTTTCTGGGTGGCGGGTGTCATGTGAGCCAGCAGCATCACGTTAGGGGTCTTGATGGTGGGGTTGGAAGCGCAGATGCCCGCGGTCACCCAGTTGGCTCGGTTATGAAGGTAAATGGATTCACCTCTTCTGTTGACCTGAGGCAGAGAAGAGGAAGAGGGGCGTTTCTGATAAGGTCTGTGGCCTCAACAACCTCACTTACCCAAACAGTGTAGGAATAAAGGAGAGGTGAGCCATGATGCTATAAAGAAAGCTGAGCGCTGAAGGATTTATGCTTTTGAACTGCGGTGTTGAAGACTCTTGAGAGTCCCTGGGACTGCAAGGAGATCCAACCAGTCCATCCGAAAGGAGATCAGTCCTGAGTGTTCATTGGAAGGACTGGTGTTGAAGCTGAAACTCCAATAGTCTGGCCACCTGATGTAAAGAACTGACTCATTGGAAAAGACCCTGATGCTGGGAAAGATTGAAGGCGGGAGGAGAAGGGGATGACAGAGGATGAGATGGTTGGATGGCATCACTGACTCGATGGACATGAGTTTGGGTAAACTCCGGGAGTTGGTGATGGACAGGGAGGCCAGGTGTGCTGCAGTCCATGGGGTTGCAAAGAGTCGGAGACAACTGAGCGACTGAACTGCACTGCACTGAACTGAACAATGATTGTTTGTTCATGTGACTTCTTAGAGATATCAGTGATAGCACAGTGACCATAGACATGGTCCCTGACCTCCGGGGTCCACGGGGGAAAGTGAACATTAAACAAGTATGTCACTAAGTGTCTTAAGTGTCATTGAACATAAGTTCAGGGTGCTGTGCTGTGGGGTGAATGACAGAAAACTTGACTTAGTGGGGAAGAAGGCAGGTATGTGTCTAACTACCTTTCTCAGAGAAGATACAAGTTTATTATAAACTGTAGCAGACAATTTATAGTCATATACTGTTCTATGTTGTACTCCATACAGTCAATTGATTCTCACAGGAGTCAAACTCTTGTATCCATAACCCCGAGATAATAGTAAAATGTAGGAGAATGAGTGATGAATTTTGACTATTTGTTGCCTTTATTTTGAATATAGTTTTATTTATAAGGTTATGTCATTTAATTCTTAATGATGACTGCGTTTAACAACCGACTTGTAAACTTCCTGAACTCTTACCAATCGGCCAGCTGGGTGCACCCTGGCCATAGGGTCAGAAAAGTTCCCCCAAGGAAGGGCCTCTAAATGAGACCTGAGCCACGTGGGACATGGATTGGCTGGGCACCCAGGAGAATCTCTGCTGGCTGGAAAAGGAAGAGACCAGAAAGTGGGTGGACAGGGATGTGAAGGAAGCCAGAGAGGGAAAACACTTGGTTTCTCAGCTGCATATTAATTGCTGCAAAAAAGTAAATTACCGAAAAACAAATATATTTAGAAAGAGATTGTAGCCTACACTACTGATTAGCTACCCAAAGCCGTGCTCCTAATCTTCCTGATTAATAGAATTCTGGTTTTGTCCAGGAGCCACCCCTCAGGGATGGTGTCCCCAGCTGAGGAGTGGACTCCTCATCCACCGAAACTAGTCATGGTGGTCCCACCCCCTGGCCAGTGATTGCTCTCTGCAGGGGCATGTGACTCAGGCCTGGCCAATGGGACAGAGCCTCCTGGTGGCTCTGGAAAAGGCTTCTCAGCTCTCCCAGTTTCAGAGATGAGATGTATCCCCTCTGTTGCTGGCAGCTGTCACGTCCTGCTCGCATGTAATGTCCTGAAGGGAGATATTTGTAGGTAACAGGACAAAAAGAGAGAAGCTGGGACCCTGATGGCTCCTGTGAATGAGTTGCAGCCCTGTGGTTCTTTCAATCTGTATCTGTGTTAGTCGCTCAGTTGTGTCCGACTCTTTGCGACCCCATGGACCATAGACCGCCAGGCTCCTCTGCCAATGAGATTCTCCAAGGCAAGAATACTGGAGTGGGTAGCCATTCCCTTCTCCAGGGGATCTTCCCAACCCAGGGATCAAACCTGGGTCTCCTACATTGCAGGCAGATGCCTTACATCTGAGCCACCATTTTACTTGAGATAATCAGTGTTCTTTTTTGCTCACACTTGAATCAGGTACCTTGATAACTTGCTGCCAAAGACATAGCAGTCACAAGAGGTTGTGTGTGTTGAAGGGAGTAACTTATCCAGTTATGACATGGGGACATGTCTAAGTTATCGAAAGCTGACTGCCTCTCCCAGTGTTCATTAAAGCTAGAAAATGATTATTTGAGAGAGGTACAGAAGAAAAATAAAAAGATTATTAGGAAAGAAGCACAAAGAAGGTGAATTACATCAAAACATGACATCACATGTGTTTTGGGGGATGAGTTAAACATTAGTATTCTTTGAGGCATCACCTCCCTCTCTATGACTTCTTAGAGGTGAAGAGCTCTCCCATCAGTGCAGAGGACATGTGTATGTTGTCATTTCTTTGTAGAATCAGCTGAGGAGCTGCTTAAATGGGTGTGTTTTGCGTTTGACTTGCTTGTGACATTTTCATGAAGTTGAAGGGTATGCCCCACATCATTTAATTCAGTTCTCCATTACTCTGTCTGAATTTTTTTTTCTTTTCTTTCTTGGTACCTCATAGTACGCGAAACTTCCAGGACCAGGGATCAAAACTGTGCCCCTGCAGTGGAAGCACTGAATCATAACCACTGGACCATTATGGAACCCTCTGTCTGAATAGTTTAATGTTTAAAGTTTAGAGGAAATTTAGAACTGCCCCCAAATGCATTGAAGTTTCATTCATAATGGAGGTACATTTTTAGGAGGAGGAAACTTCTCTCCTTGATACAATTTAACAAGTATATTTTCCTTCAGAACTAAGAAGGAAAATGCATTTTAATCCCTAGTTGTGTCATAGATATTATTCTTTAAAATGTCTCCTAAGTTAAGAAAGGAGTTATCTGAGTGCTTTCCTGTGGCAGAATATTCTAAAAATGACTATACTTTCTTTGTGTAATTTTGAGAAGATTATAGAATAATTTCAGTAGAGTTGGGACAGAATTTCTAGGTTAGAGTTTGTTGGGGAAATTTGAAATGAATTTTCCTTTTACATTATAATTAGTTTAGATTGTTTGAAGTTCCCAAACTATCCCCTTTAATTCTATCACACAGTCCCTTTTAAAATATTAAAACAATTGTTCCAACCTTTTCCATTGTCTTTGAGAAAATTAATTATTGAGGTTATTGGAACTTAATTCAGGGTTTAATTATCATTTACCTGGATAAAATTGCTCTCTAATATGGGAGGAGATACAAAAGGGGCGTATTCTCCTCCATTCAACATATTTTGAAGCTCTCCTGGATCCTTGGAGTCTGGGACACAGATGTCATCTTGCTTGTCGATCTTTGTGGGAGATTTCCTGTTAATCTTCTTCATTGTGTTTATGTATAAACCTCAGGAAAATGAAGGAATGGAAGTACAATGAATAGAGACAGAGAACATTTAACATAATAATTAAGATGCCTCGCTTACTCATTAATTCAACACATTTTATCAACATTGGTGATATTCCAGGCACTGTGCTGGGCACTGGAGATCCATCTAAATCAGACTGATAATACGCCTGCCCTCAGACATATTTCCTATTGGCTTAGATGGTAAAGAATCTGCCTGCAATGCAGGAGACCCAGGCTTGATCCCTGGGTTGGGAAGATTCCCTGGAGAAGGCAATGGCAACCCACTCCAACATTCTTGCCAGGAGAAACCCATGGACAGAGGGCTACAGTTCATGGGGTTGCAAAGAGTCGGATATGACTGAGCAACTAATGCTTTCACTTTCATGTAGGTTACTCTCTCTGCAGAGACAGAGTAAAGCAAGTGAAAAAGAAAATGTTGGATGGTAAGGGTTACAAAGACTCTGGATCAGATTCATGTGACAAAAAGTGTCTGGGGTATGGTGCTGGCAACAGGAATTAGTTAGGGTGGTGAGGGGAAGCCTCTCAGCATATATCTCCCTCCCCAAACCATTATTTTCTATCTTCCTAAATAATGCTACCACTATCCTTCCCATATTGCATAGGTCTCAGGCCCTTTTATTGTAAGTAGAGTTTCGAAATCATGCTAACCTGAGACCATTTCTTCCTGACCATTCATCTATGACTGAGGCTTAGTGAACAGTGGATTCTATCTAGTCACTGACAGCTGTGCATCTCCTGCTGTCTCTCTGCTCTCTCTTCACAACTGCTTCAACAGACAACAGTGGCTCTACATCATTGGATTTGATCTTTCATCTGCCAGAAATCACAGAATTCCAACAAGGGAACAAGGCCCCAGAAGGCAATTCTGTTCAAGCCTTCAAAAGATCACTCGTTCCCCTTCACAAACTCCATGCTAGTTCAGAGGAAGGGTCCTTAATTGGTAAGTGGTAAGCCCTGAATACTTATTTCCACCTCAGTCCTTTCTCAGAGATCCTTCTCTTCCTTTCCCTGGCCAAGCTATAAGGTAGTGAACACGTCTCATCTCCATCCCAGCCAGAGCGTGGGGGCACAGAGACCACTGCTGCTTGACATCCCATGAATATGTGACTCTGGGAATTTCCCATCAGGCTTTCTGCTGTTGACAACACAATGTCCCCTCCCCGCCCCAACTTCAGTGCATCTTACATGAACACAGGCAAAGTAAAACAAGCCAAGAGGAAGTCATAGTCCAGAGGAGCCAAAATGTAAATAGAATGAGACAGAAGAAAGATCATTCAGGAATAAAAGAGAGAGATAAAATGACAAAGTGAAACAGAGAGGATGGAAAACAATAATCAACCACATTTATTTAGTTCTTGCTTTGTGGCATGCTATAATAGCTTTACGTGTGCTATCTCATTTGATTCTAAAAGCACTATGAAGTAGCATTATTAAGATGCTCATTGGGAGGGAGGAGCCAAGATGGCGGAGGAATAGGACAGGGAGACCACTTTCTCCCCTACAAATTCATCGAAAGAACAATTCAACGCAGAGCAAACTTCACAGAACAACTTCTGATCACTAGCTGAGGACATCAGGTGCCCAGAAAAGCAGCCCATTGTCTTCGAAAGGAGGTAGGACAAAATATAAAAGATAAAAAGAGAGACAAAAGAGCTAGGGACGGAGACCCGTTCCGGGAAGGGAGTCTTAATAGAGGAAGTTTCCAAACACCAGGAAACCCTCGCACTGGCGGGTCTGGGGGAAGTTTTCGAATCTCAGAGGGCAAACTAACTGGGAGGAAAAATAAATATAACCCACAGATTACATGCCTAAAGGCAACTCCCAGCAGAAAAGTACCCCAGACGCCCGCATCCGCCACCAGCAAGTGGGGGTGGAACAGAGAGGAGTGGGCGGCATTGCTTAGGGTAAGGACCGGGTCTGAGTGCCCTGAGGGCAATCAGAGGGAGCTAACAAGAGATAGCAACTTAAACTGTGGGAGAGCAAGAGAGAGAGAGAGAGAGAGAGAAAATTATCCGGCCCGAACACACTGCCGGCCATTCGCAGAATAAAGAGTCTGAGCAAGTCCAGAGGAGCTAGCCGGCTGTGAACCGGGCCAGCCCCGCCGGAGGCAGGAGGCGGGGGGAGGGGAAAGGGGCAAACTCGGCCTCAAAGACGGCACCCCCTACCACACTGCAAACAGGCCTCCAGTTTCTAACTAAAGACGTCCTGAGATTCTGGATGGTCGACATCCGCTGGGAGGGTGGCGGCTAAACACAGGGCACAGGCACCCGACCGGCAAGGGCGGAAACTGAGGCTGGGGCTGTGGAGGGGAGAAGGCGCACCGCACCCGGGGAGAGTGCGCCCGTCAAGCTCCTGGCTGCCTGAGCTGCTCGGGCAAGGGAAGGCACAAAACACAGGCGCAACCGAGTCCGTGCTTTTGTGGAGGACTAGAAAACTAGAACCGCAATCAACGCAGGGCACGCTCCATATAGAGCAGCCGGGAGCCTGAGCAGCGTAGACGGGGAAAACAGCGCGCCCCACCCCACCCCCCAGCGTGACGGAACTAGCGAACCTGAACAAGAGACCACCTCTGCCCACCTGTGTCAGGGCGGAAATTAGGCACTGAAGAGACCAGCAAACAGAAGCCAAATAAACAAAGAGAACCGCTTCAGAAGGGACCAGTGCAACAGATTAAAATCCCTGTAGATAACACCGACTACACTGGAAGGGGCCTATAGATATTGAGACGTGTAAGCTGGAATGAGGAGCTATCTGAAACTGAACCAAACCCACACTGCCTGCAACAGCTCCAGAGAAATTCCTAGATATATTTTTACCTTTTTTTTATTAAAAAAATTTTTTTTCTTTTCTTTTTTAGTTTTTCTCTTTTATTTTCTTTTAAAATTCCCTATTACTCCCCCATTACTCCTTAACTTTCATTTTCATATATTTTTATGATTTTCTTAATTAGGAAAAAAATTTTTTCTTTTTTTTTTCTTTCTTTTCTTTTTCTCTTATTTGCTTTTAAAGTCCT